GGTAATTTCATACAATATTTTAAATAAGTTTGTGCATGAAACAAAATATGTGTACACTGAACTATCAGAAAGCACAGGTGTCACTATCACAGCCACCCATGAAAAATGTTTTGCATTTTGGAGCATTTTTATAAGGGATACTCAACCTGTACAAGTCCTTGTAATTATTATTGTCATGACACATATACTTGTTTGAAATACTTTACATTTGGTTTAGAGATCATGGTAAGTAGGCAAAGCACAATGGATTTATGCTTCACACACCATTTTAGAACTGCTTAGCTTCCAAAACAAATTGCCAGTCACAAAAGAAGCAGAAGTAAATAATATATAGCACATTATGTATAGTGTGCAGAATCTGGCATAATAGTTAATTTTATAAAACTGATACTTTTCATTTTTAAGCATGTATCTAAAATTCATCATTACAGAGGATGTATAAAAGCATAAAACATTTGAAGAAACTGATTAACTTAGGACTTCCTGTGGTTCACAAGGGAAGCATCTTTGCTCTGATCATGCAAATTTCCTCCCATAGCTTGTATCCAACTGGCTTAATACACCTAGTGTTCTTCCCGATTCATGCCCATGCCACACCATACCTAACAAGAACATCCTAAAGCCTACGTTCTCTGAGCACCTACAATTTACATGGCTTGGACTTTGAATTGTAGTGTAAGTTCCATTTCTGAAAGGATGTGTGTCACAGTTGGTGTATTTCTGCAGGAGATGGGGTAGGCCAGGGGTCGGCAACCTTTCCTTATCTGGGGCTGGGCCCTTCCGGCGGGCCGGGGGGAGAATGGCGGTGCACACGCTGCTGGTGCTGCCGCCGCGCATGTCGCAACCGCCATTTTGTTTGCCAAAATGGTGGCCGTGACTTATTTGCGCATGTGCAGGAGTATGGTGCATGCACAAACGAGTCACGGCTGCCATTTTGTTTGCCAAAATGGCGGCCGTGACTCGTTTGTGCATGCGCAGTACTGCTGCGCATGCGCAAACGAGTCACGACTGCCATTTTGGTAAACAAAATGGCAGCCACACAGCAGCTGGAGCCAGTAAGTGGGGGCCCGTAGGCCAGATGCGGCCCGCAGGCCATAGGTTGCCGACCCCTGGCGTAGGCTAGGAAGGGAAACTGCCACTGGAACCAAAGGCCTAGGTGCAATTGCTGAAAACTATCCACAAGGCAACTAAGACCACATGGAACAGAATAGGATAAATGTTACTCCAGCATCAGCCAGGTATCAGGTTAGATCTCACAACAGGCCACTGGAGTATAGAAAACTACTCATACTCCATTAGAACATTGGACCATCCAGTTCTTTACTAACTGTCAGGACATTCCAGAGTTTTAGACACTGATCTTTTCCAGACTTATCATGGGATCCTGAGGATTGGGTATGGGAGCTTTTGAAGCAAAGTATGTGTTCTGTCAGTCTTAGCCTTCCCTTGCAATGTCACCCATCTTGGTATATCAGTATCTGATTCTGGAAGCTCTTGCCCTCATAAACAGAATGTAAAAAAAGGAGGCATCAGGTGATGAATGTCCCCTCTGCCATATAAGGGTCTTGTCTTTGTTATTTTATCCATTGTTGCTTCAAATGGTGATTGGGGATAGTGGCTTGTCACATAGAAAGAAGGGGTCTCAGGGTGGCATCAATTAATGATTGTTCTGGAATCTCCAGTAGAGTAGTTGGTTCTTCCTAATCCCAATATAGACCTTTTTTTTTCTGCAAGGGATACCCCTTCCTCTTCTGGGAAGGATTCATCTGATTTGGACAAAGGAGGCTGCTAGAGAAGAGGTTCACTATGTTCATTGACAGCTTCTTTTCTATAATGCTGTGTCATAGGACAGTGGCATGTAGAGCGGTGGCAGTGACAATGTAAGATCAGTTCTGTCACATGCAAAAAACAAACATATTTTTAAAACATGTCAAGGAAAGTCCACTTTAAAAGTGATACTGAGTATATTAAAAAGCCAAACCTTTCTGTATCTTCACCAAGAAGCCATGGCACAGATGTACACTGCATTGCCAGGCAAATACTTAATTTACGGTAAGTGTCTAGTAACATTAATTCAATTTGACTGTGTGTAGCCTTAAACAGAGACATTAGGTGTATAAGACTACTTTTTAACCTGCAAAATCTGGGGTTAAAGTGGGGGGGTCGTCTTATACGCCAGGTATAAGGAGGTTCATGATAGGTTTGCCTTGGTGTCATCATCAGTTGGAAATGACTTGAAGGTGCACAGCAACAACAACAACAGTTTTGGAAGTCATACTCTTCCCAAACTCTATATTTTAACTGGAAAAGTGGGGGGGTCGTCTTATACGCCCAGTCGTCTTATACGCCGGAAAATACGGTACTTTTGGAAATCCATCATCAGTTTTAAATTGATCTAAAGGTGTATAATGTGAAAGAGTAAATTTCCATGGGTATCATAGGCTGGAAAGATAAAAATATCAAAACGTGTTTGTCCAGATCAATGCCATTCACATCTACATGGCTGGATGAAATTCACCTTGATGTCACTTTTTGTTCAGCAGAGTAGATTTATCTTTTTTCCTGATCTTTCTGATGTGGCCACTGGTCCATCTAGTTCAGTATTATGAAATCTGACTGACAGGAACGGTGCAGGTTTCAGGCAAGCATTTTGCCAGCCCTGGATATGCTAGGGACTGAATATGGGATCTTTTGAGAACAATGTATTCTAACACATAGCTCTGTCAGTGAGGTATTGCACTTTCCCAATGGTGCAGTGATGTTTGTAACATCACTTAAACTTCCTTAAGCTCTTCTGTGCCAAAGATCCATGCTACCATATCCCGTTTAATTTCAACTAAAACAGAGACAGTCACTAGCAAAGTGCGGAGAAAGCAGTAGCAGTCACTAGAAGCCTGTGCTGGCAAGGCAAATTGTGGCTGTGATGTACACATAAATTCTGGGATTTTTACCCTCGGGAGACTTTTCAAAATACAAATCTGTCTTTATTCATATTAGCTTACAGTGGCCAGTGATAGGATTTCACTGAAATTAGAAGTTTTGTGACTTACTGTTGTCTATCCCGAACTCTTGGGTTGAATCAGGATTTAAACACAATTTAGTAAAATGGGTGATTTTGCCCATCACAGCTCCACAGCAGGGGATGGAAAAGCTCCATGGGCTTGTGAAAAATTTAAACATTTGGTCCTGCATAGAAATTATTAGGAACATGGATAATGTGTGAAACTGCCCTTAGACTGCCTTTGTTAAGATTTGTCCTGCTGTGATGACTTGACTCAGTTGGCACTTCTCTAATCATATGAAAGGAAAACAGCATTCTCAGTTGTGGGCAAATTTTCAGTACAAATTGTTTGAGCAGCAGAATGACCCTTTGCTCTATATCATATTATGTGTTTTAACAATACTGCTTGTAGAGGAGCTTGTCAAGATGGAATGCAGCATTGGGGCAAAGAATTGCTAGGCCTTGGAATATGGTTTTGCATAGATGCTGTGCTCTGTAAGCATTGATGTTTCATCTTTTACCATCCTAATAACTCATTCACATACAAATGCTGTCCTTAAATGTTTATACGCAGCTTTTGAAAATTCTTGCTTGTTTGGAAAAAAGCATGGATCAAGTCCTGATGAGGACCTCTGTATATTATGTAACACAAATAACGCACAAAATCCCCAACTGAATGTATTGTTGGTGAAATAAGATGCTCTTAGGTGTCAAAAAAGAAAAACCTTACAAAACAAAACACTGTGAAATGCTGTTAGGTCTGCTTTCAGTAACATGGTTATTAATGGCAGGCGAGGAGTATCTGACATTCCTTGGGATCAAAGGCTTCTCCAGGGTTTATATTTCTATATGAAACAGAACAATGTGTGTGATTCCCCTCTGAGTTCCTTCAGAGCCAACAGTTTTTCAGCAAGAACCGTGACAGCTAAGAACCATGGCAGCTAGTGAGGAAGGACTCTTCCCTCATTTTGAATATTTTTACTATACTTGTTTTTGCCTGCAAAATACTTCTGGAAAGGAATATTACTTTGGATGTCTACAACTACTGCTGTAATTGCAGACTTGTGGGAAATAGCTGTTGTGCCTCCTCTAAATCCACGCAGATAAAGGAACTGCCTCCAGGTGTAAAGTCAAGCTTAAGGCATTTAGGGGCCTGAGTCAGAATACGGTATTATCAACTTGCAACTTGATGGAAAGTACTTATTGAATATTAATCATTGGTCTTTTAAAAAAATAAACTTTCTTCTTTCCAAATGGTAGGGCCCACTGTGATCATGTGTGCAGTCATTTGTATTATATTGTATTATCATACCAATAGGAAGGAGAGTTTCACTACAAATCAAGTTGAGACTTTTTGCATGTAAAGTGAGAGAGAGGAATGAGACCCATGGGCTCTGAGCATCCCTTCAACCCTGCAGAAACACTCCCAACCCCCTGGATTCCCCTTCCTCCCAAATTAAGCTTTTTCCAGGTGATTGTTTATCTGGAAATGGACTCAAAACACCCAAAACTATCCACAAATGGGACAATTGGTCTCCCCTCTCCAATTACAGAAAACATTTAAAAAAGAAAATTACTTTTTTGCTAGGTATATCAATGATTGTATGAAAAGGGTCAGTGCATTGCAGAGATTAAGATCCTGGAGGCACTATATAGTGAGTATTATTTATCATTTCTAAGTTTTATTTCATATATTTTATGTATTTTTGAGATTTTAAGGCAGAGTAGAATGCCAAAAGATTATAAGTAAATGATTAAAACAGTAAAACTCAAATGTCTATTAACTCTGTTGAAATGCTTATTAAAATAAACTATCATAAAAATAGAAATTAACAAGAAACCTCATATTCTGTCCCTTCAAGTCATTTCTGACTTATGGCAATCCTAAGGCAAACTTACCACAGGGTTTTCTTGGCAGGATTTGTTTAAAGGGGGGTTGCCTTTGCCTTCCTTTGAGGCAGAAAGTGTGACTTGCTCAAAGTCATCCAGCAGGTTGCTGTGGCTGAGCGGGGATTTGAACCCTGTTCTCCAAAGTCTTAGTCCAATGCTCAAACCACTGCACCATACTGGCTCTCAGGTAACCACAGAACCAGCAAAATAAGCCATAGCCTGAAAGGGCTTATTTCTTCACTAACCTCAAGACATCTTTTTTGTCTTTAGATCTTTTATGTGTTTGCCAAACCTATATGAGGGAGCATTTAAAAAAACAAACAAAACAAAATGAGTATGATTCATTAATGTTACAAACACTTTAATTAAATAGGAAAAGGGTACAAAATAAAAATATACCCATAGTGAGTGTAGTACTATTAGCTTTTTGTATATTCAAGGTAGCCATAACTTGATTATCAGAATATGAGAAACAGGTTACTGGCTGAACCAGACTGGCCATAGTATCGGGCAGACACATATCAGAGAACTTCAATGTCATCAAGACACTTATGTTGGCCACAGTCCTATTGGTGTCTTACACATGTGAAAATATACCTATGAAAGCAATTGGATTTTTTTGTCTGATGCAAAATGTCCCCATTCACTCCAAGGTTGTGGAAGGGGAATTGTGTTCTTGGTGCCTTTGACATGGATATGCACTAGTGCATTGCACATGGATGCACATGTACATTTGGTTGTGCATTCACTTGCACATCCATTGTCTTGATTCTGTTGTGCAACATTGCCATTCAGCAGAAGGGTGTTACAGCATGCAGAGGTTTAAGATAATTTAGGATAGGGGTAGGCAACCTTTCCCCTTTAAGGGCCGAGGGACTTCAGCTCCCAGATGCCTCAGCCATGTTGGCCAATAGTCCCATGTTGGCCAATAGCTCCTGGGATTCTGGGAGCTGAAGTCCCTCAGCCCTTAAAGGAAAAAGGTTGCCTACCCCCGATTTAGGATATTGACCATTGCATTCCCATGAATCTGTAATATATTTGATAAGTTTCAATTTCTTTTATCAATTTTATCAATTTCTTATTTATTCCCAGAGTCATGGCAGACTGCTTCAAGAGGTTTCAAACCTGATTTGTCTTATTTTTTCTTTTTAAAACTATTTTTGTCAGGCTGGTTCTAAGCATATCTAGGTGTGGCCACTGAACCTTTTAGGACTAAGCTGCCAGTCAATCAAACACTTGAATCTAGAACATTATCTGTGTTCTTCATTTTAATATACTCTTGCAATATAATGTGACAGTGTTATATTGGGCTAAGGTAAATCAAATGCAAACGTACTGTGCTTTTAAAAATAATTAAAATTCAGTGTACATGGCAAACTCTCTGTAACAATCTGGAACTTATAAAATTGCATGACATTAATTTGAGTGTGTGAGCCTTTGCATTGACACTGTTATACCGCCCATTAAGTACATATTAAGTGCTTTTACTAAATTCTTGTATGAAACATTACTTTTAAAATGCCACTTTCTATTTCTTTAAGAAAATATTTACTTTTTGTTTAAAAGCTTTTAAACACAAACTTGCAATATTTGAAAGACCTGTAACAATATCCCAGGGTTTAAAATGATACATTGAAAGACAGGGATGCTTAATAAATTAAACAAAAATTAATTTCCTTCCACCATGTGTTGAGTGCTCACATTATGGGCCTTTGCAGACTGCCAGAAATAGTGCAAATTGAGTCCACTTTAAGGGTTAGGGTTAGTGCTAGGGAATCATGGGAATTGTTTTTCCCCCTGAAACATTGAGCCTTCTCTGTCAGAGAGCTCTGGTGCCACAATAAAATACAGTTCCCATGATTCCCTAACCCTAACCCTTAAAGTGGACTCAATTTGCACTATTTCTGGCAGTCTGCAAAGGCCCAAAGAATACCTGAATAGGACTTAGATACAGTCAGCCCTCTGCATCCACGGATTCTTTATCCATGGATTCAGCCATCCACTTCTTGAATATATATATATATTCCAAAAAAGCAAACCTTGTTTGTATCATTTTATATACGCACTATTTTACGATCCCATTGTATATAATGGGACTTGAGCATCCATGGATTTTGTTATTCACCGGGGGGGGGGGGGTCCTGGAACCAAACCCAAGCCAGTACCATAGGCCCATTGTATAACCATTCCAGGAATGGATGCACCTGACACATAAGCCTGAACTGAGTAAAGGCAGTCCAGCTCATGGCCATGGCTACTGTGAGAGAATCTAGGCAAAAAGGTGAAACTGGGAATACCCTATGACAGTAAGCAAAATAGAAACAAATTCGCTTACTTTGGCTATACTCCAAAATGCAGCTAACATTATGAGATTATTTCATTTCCCATTTAATTAAGGACAAAAAAACATAAGAAATGAATTATATGAGCCAGTGCTGATGAAATGTAGAGGGCAGAACCCAATTGGTGCCATTCCTTGGACAGAACTGCTTCGTGTCAGTAAAATCACCCCCTTTGTGTCCTCAAAACCTTTTCCAGAAAGCTGAGAAACATCTTGAAGCAGTTTTATTTGGGCATTCAGGGCTGCAGAAGGACAGGAAGAAAGTTAGAAATTATATGGCTTTTTCAAGTTAAAAATATGAGGAAAGCTGATATCTTTTTATTGTTTATGTTGTAAATGC